ACGTACATATGTAAAAAAAAGTATGTGAGTAGGTGTATATATAAGTTGTCTAGTAACCATAAAACAAACTCTACTTTGTTCGGAACTAGATGGCGTTGTGTGACTATGGTATAAATATTATAATTTTTTTATCATGTTATATTTTTTTTTCGCAAATCGCAAAAGAATAATCTGAACTTAAAAAATGATTTATTCAAAACATGCGTAACAAAAATATTTTCATTGTGTCTAAATTGAAACATGAGACAAAGAAAAAAGAAGATTTTATCACAAATCCATTTGAAAATGTAAACATCACTCAAAATGGTGATAAAATGATACAGTTTAAAAGTGTCTGTTGTGTATTGCTAAGACAAAGGGTAGCCTGTTTTAAACCGGGAACTTTTATTTGCGTAACAAAGTTTCTAAAAGCTGCTACTTAGAGATAAAGAAGTTTTATAGTCTGGGGAAGTGAACCTTTTGTACAATTCAAGTGCTCATTCCAAAGAATAGTTTGTTGGAATACTCGTATCATGTTGATAGCATCACTTGGAAGCTTGCGGTTTTTTTTAATACTTCATTTTTCAATTATAGTTTTAATTGTTCATGCAATTAACCGCATCATCGGAAAGTATGGGTTTATTAAAATTAAATATGAGGTCAGAAGGTGTTTAGTACATTTAGTACACATTATTTATTTCTGTAAGACTTGATCAACTTTTATAACCGATTGCATATTAATACAAAATATACGTCCATACTAATATTATAAATGCAAAAGTGGGTCTGTCTATCTATCTGTTACCACTTTACACTTAAACCGCTGAAGCGATTAAAATGAAATTTTGTATACAAATAGTTTGAGTCCCGGGAAAGGACATAGGATAGTTTTTATTACAGAAATCATCCTTTAAGTGGTTGGACGGAGGGGGGCTGGGGGTTGGAAGTTTGCCTGGAGAATCAGTAACCGCTGAACCGATTTAGATGCAATTTAGTATTTTGATTTTTTAGAAAGGACATAGGCTACTTTTTAACGCGATAAACATCAAACACGTGAGCCGCGGAGCCGCGGGCAGAAACTAGTATATTATATTCATGTACATACATGCTGAAAATACTGAACCCGGAAATTCTCAACCAAAGAATTAAACAGAAATGTAAAGGTCTATGTCTAATGTCTCATGTCATGTCTTATTAACAAATCGACGTAGGATCTCACGCTTATTTTTATACCTTTTTTTTTTTTTTTTTTTTTTTTTTTTTTTTTTTTTTTTCCGTGCGGAAATCCCCTCGGATACCACCTGTCGGTGGCATGTCGGACTCGAACCGACTAAAACCGCACGCCTTCGCCGGGTACTAATAGCCGGGGAACCAGGTATACCCTAGAAAGGAAGGCCCTGGTGCCCCGACATACCTCGGGTCATCTACAGACGAGTAGACGACCCCCGCCCCGTGTGGGAACCCCCATGTTCCCTGTGCTCCCTGGAAGCGAGCGCGCTTCGCAACGCGCTCGCCGCCACCCCGGCCTGCTTCTGCTAGGGTGACAGATGGCCTCACCTGTCACCCCCAGGCCTGCGCTTATGGAGGACGGAGGTCGTTCTGCGACCTCCGTCGCCTGAGTCGCCTGCGCTGCCTGGCCCGTGCCCGGGCCTGGCGGGCCGGGAGAGTTCTAAACCTCTCCCGGTCCCGCTCCGCCGTCTCCTTCGCGAGCATAACTTGCTCGCAGAAGGAGACGGCAGAGTTCCACGCACTCTCGCTCCGCACGATAGCCGCAATCAGGCTATCGAGCGAGAGAACTCCCACCCCGATGGCCGCCACGAGGTCTCGCCTCTGCTCAACCCACGCCGGGCACTCTGCCAGCGTGTGGAGAGCCGTGTCCACGGTCTGGCCATCGCAGTGGTGGCACTCAGGCGTTGGCTCCTTGCGGATCAGACACAGGTGATCTCCGAAACATCCCTTCCCAGTGATCACCTGCGTCAATCGGTATGAGAGGGTCCCGTGACGCCTCTCGAGCCACTCCTCCATAACGGGTCTTACCGCCGCAATGACGGCGTGCCCAGCGCTCGGTTGCCCGAGTCGTTCCCTCCACTCCCCTATGATGACCTGGCGGAGTTGGGATTTCCGGTCATCGATTTCTCGAATCTCGGGGCATCGACCCAACTCCTGCGCCTCCTTGCGCCACTGATACAGTGCCGCAAGGGCTCTCGCCTCCAGGTCCCACGGTGGAGTTCCGGCCAGGAGACTCGCTGCCTCAAAGGAGATCGTGCGGTACCCCCTTATGATCCTGATGGCCAGCATTCGCTGCGGTCGTCGCAGTATCGCGACGTTGCTGGCCTTCAGGGCCCCCGCCCATACCGGGCACCCGTAAAGGGCCATGGACCGCACAACCCCCGAGTAGAGTCTCCTGCAGGAGTCATCGGGTGCCTTCATGTTGGGCAGCAGCCGCGCCAACGCACGCGCTGCCCCAACCAACTTGGGGACCAGACCTCGGAAATGATATCCGAAGTCCCATCGGCCATCGAGTACGAGCCCCAGATACCTGATCGAGGGCTCGATGCCGATGCGAGTGCCTCCTACCGTGAGGCTAGATCCCTCAGGCGGCTTCCTCCGAAGCCCGTGGAAGAACAGGGCCTCGGACTTGTGCAGAGCCACCTCGAGACCCAGCCGCCGGATACGCTCAACGACTTGGGCAACCCCGGCCGTGGCCCTCAGGGTTGCCTCGTGGTGCGTCTTGCCGCGCGCCGTCACGAGTGTGTCGTCCGCGTAGCACACGACGGCGACACCATCCAAGAAGGCACCACGAAGCACCCAGTCGTAGCCGATGTTCCACAAGAGTGGCCCTAACACCGACCCCTGCGGAACACCGCACGACATTTCACGCCTACCGAGACCGGTCCTACTGGGGTAGACGACGGCTCTCTCCGACAAATATGCCCCGACTATGCGGCGGAGGTAGAGAGGCACTTCGTGATACACGAGCGCCTCCCTGATGCAGCTCCAGGGCATAGTGTTGAACGCGTTGGCGATATCCAAGGACACCGCCAACACCACTTCACCCCGGGAGACTGCTTCCTCCGCCAGAGCCTTCACGCGCATGATCGCATCCACGGTGGAGCGCCCCTGACGGAAACCGTACTGGTTGTCCGCCAGATCCGGCCCAACCATCACGAGATGCTTGACGAGGCGCCTTGCAATCACTCTTTCAAAGAGCTTGCACACCTCGTCAAGCAACACTATGGGCCGGTAGGCGGACGGTGAGTCCGCCGGGCGCCCCTCCTTTCGGATGAGGACCAGTTTCCCCGTCCTCCACAATTTCGGAAACTGGCCCCGCTCGAGGCATGCGCTGAAGAACCCTCGCAGTCGGGGCTCGAGAGCCTCGTCGACTAAGGCCAGGACCCACGCTCGGCCAGGAATGCCATCGGGTCCCGGGGCGGTGTTTTTGGCTTTAAGCCGTAACACCGCCACCCTTAGTTCCACCCCAGTGACCTCAGGCACGTCGTCGTCATCCACGTTAGGCGCCTCAAGCGCCGGAGGCGGAGCCATCTGTGGCGGAGTATGCTCCACCACTCGCGTTGGGAACAGGGAGCCAACGACCCTCTCAAGCAGCTCTGGCTGAAGACACCGTGTGAGCGGCGGGGCCCATGGGCGCATCTTGCCCCTAACCATACGGTAGGGGCGTCCCCTTCGGATCCCGCTCCAGTGTCTCCAGCATCTCGCGGCGGGCCTCGCTCTTGGCCCGCTTTATCGCTGCCTGAAGGGTCCTCTTGGCAACCCTGTAACCCGCTAACAGCTCCGCCTCTCTCGCTGCCGCATCTTCGGGGCGGCGACGCCTCCTGCGGAACCTGGACCACCGGCGGCGCGCGGTCACGCAGGCTTGACGCAGCCGTGCGATCTCCGGCGACCACCAGTAGACCTGGCGCCTTGCAGTATTGGGCTGAGCCCTAGGCATCACCGCATCGCAGACGCGGGTCATGGCCTCCCGGAACCACTGTGCCTCAGCATCGACGTCGACAGGCCTGTCCGGCGCAGGAGCCCAGGCCTGTACGATGGCGGCTTCCAGGAGGAGGTCGCGATCTAAGCGCTTGAGCGCCCAACGTGGTTCAGGTGGTGCCGGTCTGACCGGCGCGCCATCTGCAGGGGCGGAGACGTCAAACCGAATATATCGGTGATCCGAACCTGTCTCCTCCCCGACAACGACGCGCCAGCCTTGGACACGACGCGCTAGCGAGGGGCATGCGAACGAGATGTCCACGATCGAACTACCCCTCGCCGTCACGAACGTGGCCACGGCCCCCCGGTTTAGGAGAACTAGGCCGAATCTTTCAGCCCAGTTCTCCAATGCCCTGCCCCTCGGGTTCGTGCGCAGGGAACCCCAAGCCTGCGACCAGGCGTTGAAGTCCCCCAGCACAAGAACCGGGTGGGGGCGACAGGCATCGACGACGACGGCCAGCTGAGCGAGCCATTGCTCGTACTCAGTTAGGTTTCGGTTCGGCGTGAAATAAGCGGCCACGACCGCTATATCTCCAACTATCGCCGCTACACAGCCCCGTCCCCTTGCAACTACTGCAAGAGGTGGAGTGCCGGCTGCGGTACCGTGCACTAGGGCCGCCGTGCCGTCCAAGTCGGTCTCCCAGGCAGGCCCGAGAAACCGATGGACATATGGCTCGGCGATAGCGGCGATGTTGATGGACCACTGTGCCATGCTCTGGAGCAGAAGATCCTGAGCATCGGCACCGTGGCCTACGTTCACCTGGAGGATGCGGAGATGTGGATCCATCACTGGACTTCCATCCCCGCATCCCGCAGCGAACTTTGCGGCTGTCCAGCGGCACTCTCCGTCTGGATCAGCGGCTCGGAGGCGGAAGGTCGGCCTCCCGGCTTCGGTCGCGATAGGGCACAGGCCTTACCACCAACCCGGTGGTCGGCAGGCTTGCCCCCCGCTGCGCACCTAAAGCAACGCAGCGGAGCGTTGCAGCCACCCGCCTTGTGACCGGGCTGGCCACAGCGGAAGCATCGGTCACCTACGGTGGCCTCCGCCGTACAGTGCACCCCTACGTGACCCACCGACAGGCACCTGAAGCACCTTGCCGGTCGGGCCTGCAGGAGCCGTGCCTGCGCCCTCAGGAAACCTCCGACCAGGAGGCTCCGTCCATCGGCGACCTTCTGGGCCGCCGCGATGGGGCAGCTGACAACCGCTGCCCCCTGTCCACCGGGGCCGAAGCGTATTGCTCCGGCCTTCACGCTGTCCAGAGGGCAGCTTCCCGTCTCCGCCACGGCGAGTCTGAGCTCGTCCGCCGTGACAGAGTCGTCCAGGCCCGTGATGCGGACTTCGGCGCATTTAGTGGGCCTGGACACTCGGACGTCAGCTGCATCCAGTGACTCCCTCAGCTTAGCCGCTAGGGCATCGGCTTTGGGGCCACTGGTAGCGCCGGCTACCTCGAGGAGCCGGGCTCCCGTCCGTGTGTTTTTACACCGGACGCCCGGAATCTCGAGGGCTTTGAGGTCCACGTTGGCCTTGACTTTCGTCAAGACCTCGGCGTACCCCACGCCCCTCTCCGCTGCCTCCGCCGTCAAAGTAATAACGACGGCCGAGGAGCGAGGGGCGCGGAGCTTCCTCGGCGCTCCCTTCGCGGCGGCGGCGGCGTCCCTCCTCGCCTTCTTGGCCGCTTTTTTGGCGGCCTTCCGCCTCTTTTTGTTGTCCCCGGCCACCGTCCAGCCCCGCTCCAACGAGCGCTGTGCGGTGTCAGCCGGGGCCGAGACTGGGGCTTGGGTTGGGGCCGCCTTCCCCCTCCCTTTGCCCTTTCCGGTCTTCTGGGGCGGGGGGGCTGATGACGGCCCAGCCACCCTAGCTGCTGGCTGGGCTGTTAGGCCCGCCCTGGCAGCGGCCGCATAGGTTGCTCTTGGCGGAGCCAGAGGTGGGCGACAACGGGCGCTCTCTATGGCAGAGATGCGCCTCATAATTCGCTCCTCCATCTCCGCCACGAGTCGGACTAAGTCCGGCTCCTTAGGGGCGGACGACGCCACAGGTGCCGAAGACACTGGTGTGGCACCAGCGTGGGCACGAGCCTTGGCGAGATCCGCCTCGAGGCGGGCTCTCTCCCTAGCGTGGGCCTTGCTCTCGGCCACGAGGAGTCGTCCCGCCTCGATGATGGAGCGCACGACCGCTACCAGGGCCTCCTGTTCGGGACCCCTGGCTACCCCGGACGTCTGGAGCAGGCAATCGGCCATGCCGATTGCCTCCTCGATCCGGTCGACGGGGTTGCCGGTTTTGCCTCGCAGCTCAACGAGGCCAGCACCCCCACCCCCGCTCCCCACATCAGTGGTCGACATCTCGGACGCGACCCCCTCCTCTCTTCTCCGTCCGAGACCCCCATCTTCGGCTCCTCCCAGCGCCGCGGGCTGGACCGCCACCTTCTTCCGGGCCACCATGGCCGTGGGGAGTCGGCCTCCGCCGCGAGCGCCTCTGCGGCTTGTGCCGACTTTGGGAGCCGAGGCCTCATCGCTCGAGGCCGACTCCAATTGCCTCTTCAGGCCCAGGCGAAGCGAGCGCCTTTTGCGCTTTGGAGTACCCTTCTGGTGCTGCTCTGCAGCTGAGACCATCGGGGTACTCGCTCCGCTCCTCTCCGAGGCAGTGTCGGTGTTCGACACTACCTCCAGGTTTTTTGCGTCCTCCGCGTTTTTTTTGGGTGCCGGATTTACTGCTCGGCGACGGGCAGGTTAGACAAAGGTTGCTCCCCCCAGAGTACGTTTGGGAGCTGCCGGAGCCGTCTGGCTCCGGGAGGGATTCTCCAGACGCAGTGCGTCTGGTACCCTCCTGGGTAGATTTAATAATCTTTGGGCCCATGTCATGAAAGTAGTTTAACGTCCTTCGACGGGGACGCCTTCGGCACTGGACTCCCTCCAGCGACTCAGCCCCTTGCCAGGCGTCAGAACGTGGGCTTAGAGCATTTTTTATAGAGGTTTACGTCCTCGCGGATCCGAAGATCCACCGGTCCTGTCCATTCAGGATTACGGCTGGGCCGGACGGGGTCTGCACCAGACCGGGTCCGTCCGCCCCAGGGTTTTTTATAGAGGTTGCCTTCCTCGTAGCCCTCGAAGAGCCGTCATTCCTGACCGTTGCCAGTCAGGGTTACGACATGGCCGGACGGTGGTCTGCGTCAGACCAGTGTCCCCCACCTCTGGACAGAGCCAGCTGCAGTGGACCCGTCCGCCCCCAGCCCGCTCTCCCCTATGCCCTCTGCCAAACAGAGGGACATGCGGAAAGCAGCCCTCCGAACAGCCCTTGACGGGCCGTTCCCACCTCGGCCGGAATTGGCCGCAGGCGGCAGCGCCTCTCCCACCTAGGGAGAGAGGCGCTGCCGTCTCCGTTGCCCAGGGTGCACCACAAGGAGGTTCCGGACCACGCACCCCGCTTATTTTTATACCTAATACTAACAAGAACAGATGGTTTATGAAAGTATCTTGTCAAAATTATTTCATACACGCCACTATTGCTACATTATACAACAAATAAACGTGGTTGCATTAATACCGTTACAGCTGAATTTCAATCCAAAGTTTTGGACCTTGGCCATAAGTATCTACAATGCTACATTAAATCGACGATCTTGAACCGAAAAACATTGCTGAACATGTAAATAATTTACTGTAGTTTAAAATATGTACTTGTAAAACTCTAAACAATTTATTTAGTTACTCTTTTTTACCCCTGACGCAAAAGGAGGGGTGTTATAAGTTTGTCGTGTCTGTGTGTCTGTTTATTAGTGTACGGCGTAGTTTCTCCTAAACTAATGGATCGATTGTGATGTGTTTTTTTTTTGGTTGAAGATCATTAGCTCATTTCTTAGTTGATGAGTTGAATTGAATTACACAACTCCGGTTGATTTAAAATTTTGTGTATTTTTAATTTAGTGGTGTTTCCATGAAATGGTAACATTGACTTGATTTTAGGTAAATATGCTGGCATCGCCCAATTTTTATGTGTTATTAAAAGTGACGATGTATAATATACTCGTTCCACTAACTAGTGTTCAACGAATACGAGTTCGAGACGATTTCATGTAAACCGTGCCTTGGAGAATATTCTATCGCAGCTTAATATTACGTCCTATTATTGTTTTACTGCCTCTACCTTTCTACTCTACCTTTACTCTACCTTTCTCTACTCCCTAATACAGCGTAAAAATATGTATATTTATTTATAAATAATTTATAACTCTAAAATTAAACTGTTGTAGTGAATTTCAGTTGCAAACTACAGATGTCGATATCGCAGATATTTGAGTTAAAAATAACCATTATAATGCCATAATCCTAAACAATAACACTAAACTTGTAAACACCACACCAGAAATTTCACGGCCTCATCAGCTCACGCCTAATCAAGGTGACCAAAATACATACGGAACATTTTTTCAACCTCGTTACTACCTTGTGTGTAATACCGGGTAATGGGTTTAGCTACACCTTTGATCCCGTACAAATCTGACGTTTAATTACATATCCGAGATTACAGTACCCTCCTGTTGCTGGAACATAATAGTCGAACATGTTGAGACAGTCTATGTTGCGTTATGGTTTCAAAATTTAATTAGCTGTCGAGGGACTTTAGGTTTTAATCGTGTAAAATATGTCTTCAAGGAGTAGTTTTATTTCCATTTATCGAGATATTACTTGCTGAATTTCCTTTAATACTATAAACAGTTATCGATAAAAATAACTTGCATGAAACCAAATGGACATCTGTAAAGTAGAAAAACAAATCTAAGCGGTTTTTTTTGGAAATTCAAATGACTGGTGTCCATTTTTCATGTTTGCAGATTTAAGAACCTTAATATTTTATTACTAATAAACTTGAATATTATATTACTAAATATTACTATAGCATTCTAGTATTTAAATGTATATGAGGGCTCGAAATTGCCGGTATCAGACAGATCGAGTAACACACTACGATATACAACTCTGCAGTCACTATTGTTTAGTCTGTTATTCATTCTTCCATGGCTTTCTAGCTTCCCTCTCTCTTTCATTATACTAGCAGTTTTACCATCTTTAATTTCCAAACTGCTTAGTTGATGATAACAAGCTTGCGCCTAACGTGAACTGTACTAGATTGTATTTGGCATAATCTGGGGTAAATGTATAGGTATTATGAATTTTGTTTCTTCTTTGAGGAGAACTTCTCCATCAGAAATGTCTCCTGTGTCATTGGAAACGTTACAAACATTTATGAAACAGACACAAAGAACACTCATATTCAGAACAACAATTTGTGGATCACACATAGTGTTGTTCCATGTGGGGATCAAACCCACAATACTCACTGCAGCAGGAAGCGTAGCTTGTAGCATTGTTTTATACTAAGTGACTGAAAATATAAAAAATCTGCCTTAACTATATCTACACAAGAAATTGCTGAGCAAATATTTCCTTAATTGTCTTCTTTTCCACGGCAATCTTTGAGTAGGTCCTACATAAAAACATCCGTCACAAGTTGGAAAGTTCATTAACCGGGTTCAAACATAAAACTAAAAGAGCGTAACACTGCTCATACCAAAAACTTGTTACATTTCCTAAATGTGGGACTAGAAACTTGTTTTCAACTTGTTTATCATAGAAAGCGTGAGTTTCCCCTTAATCCTGAGAAGCTAGTCAACAATATGACATAAACAAAACATAGTATCCAAGGACCCAAAATTTCTACAGTATTAATACCACGACATATACGAGTATTAATGAAATATTAAATAACCAACACTGTATGAAACTTCAACACTGATTTTGCCACATTAAGAGTGAACCCTTTAAACACAATCAATCATCTGTAGTTATAGTTTATAGTGATGTTGTCCTTTGCAAAAGCAAGTTGTAGCAGAATATTATTCTTATTAGAAGTGTAAATAGAGATGGAAATACTTTAATATTTAAAGGCTTATATTATTTACCGGAGACTTTTTGTTGGTGTTGTTTGCTACCTTTATTTTTTAATATTTATATTTTTTTTTTAATTTATTAGACGCCTACAGCATCTCTGCCAGTCTTCACATTAACAAGAACTAGACTTTAATAAATTTAGTAAAAATTGATAAGGACGGAATGAGGTTGTTAAAAAAATTATACATGAAACCAATGAAAGGACATCGTAACCTGTTTGAAAGAGAGATAAAAAGATAAAAAAATGTATCTGGAAAAAGATGACCTTGTGAAATACGATGACGATGAAATAGAGGCAGAATATAATATCAGATTGTACACAAAAAGAAGATACAGAAGAATGAAATTTGTTTGATAATCCTTTCATCAGTCTACATCCCGACTACGTAATAATAATAATATATATTCCACCACATTCACACAACGCCATCTAGTCTCAAACTAAGCAGAGCTTGTACTATGGCTACTAGACATCTCATACATAAATACACCTACTCACATTCTTTTCTGATGATTTTAACGGACTACAATTATTATTATAGTTATAATATAATAACCAATTTTAAATAATATCTTAATTGCTAAGGAAGTGACACCTGGGTACAACTGATAAAAATACTTTTATGCTTTTTTTTTCTAAATACATACATATTATACATAGAAACACCCAGACCAAATCAAACATGTTCATGAACATAAATGTTTGACTTGAGTGGGAATTGAACCCGCGACCATTGGAATATCAGTACAATAGATAGAATAGATATCATGTCGTTTACATCCCGGTAAGTATAAACATCGTAATTTACGGTGAAGGTTCGAAAGGTTTATTTAACAGGCGCGGTTTATCAGCGACTGTTTCAGTACAAATTTAGACACAATTATATGTTTATAACAATATGTAATTACGTATGTCCGTTTTCGTTTAGGAAGCTGACCGCGGCTTAATTTGATTATGATTTGGAATATCACCAAATTATGTAAAATATGGGCAAATTGGACTTAGCATTTTGGGGAATACAAGTTATATATTTCATTAATTTATTTGGTTCAGATTTTGGCGTTCAAATTCAAATACATTTATTTACTAGAAGTGTCTTAACATAATGGTGATAAGAATATTGCATGGGTCCATCACATTCTACCATAACAATGGTGTGTAAACAAAATTATTAATAAATAAATTAACATTAGATTATCTTGATAATTACTGACAAAAAATAAAAATATTTCAGTATTGTAAGTAATAATTAGCTAATGACAATAAAATAAAAAAGAAAATGTTAACCTAGTTTAAATAATTCATTTTATTGGTTTATTGGTCAAATTTTTAAATCACTTTTCTAGAAACCATAGTGTAATTTTTTTCGTAAATAAAGTGAGTCGTAAATCCATAAATTTATTAGGTAGTTTGTTGTACACTTCTATGGCCCTGTTTAAGTAAACGATTTGATTAAGGATTAGTGTAAATCAGTTCTTTTTGGTATTTACGCACAAAGAAGTGCCAATGCTAGATAGTAATGTTCGAATGGAATAAATTTGATAGCTTTGCTTGGCTTAATTTATTGCTAAGTCAGTAAGTAGTACATAAAAGTATTTTTTATTCCTATGATTGTTATGGGTTGCATTACGAATACGCCATAACCAATAGTCCTGGTTAGTTGAACTCATTATTTCTGCAGAACTAGCCAATTTAAATTCTATTGTTAGTTGCCTTCAATTGCGAACCGTAGCGTACGATAAAACACTGACAAGAAAAACGCAGCCAATTAAAGAAAACAGAAAGAACTCGTAATTTGTTTTGTTTTGTTTTCTTTACTGAAGTGTAGAGGGCTACTAAAGTTTGTTTTACTAAAAGGCAATTGTGGCAATCATGTCTTAGATAACTAAGTATTTTAGAGGAGAACGCTAGAGAGATATTAAACATACCTGCACCATAACTTAATGTGATCAATAGATTTAATTTTTTCTTCTTCAAATTATAGATATAGGCACTTCCCACGTCAATGTTCAAAATCCTTTATTACCATTACTAATTTATATTCAGAAGAAAGCCATGATAATCGTTATGCTCTACTTTCTACAACTGCTTAAAATTAGAATTACTTTTCAATTTGTTCAGTTGTGTTTAGAATATTAATTAAGTCTCTGTGGAACAGAGTAAAACGCAGATTCCTTGTGGAGGTAATCGATGAAGATTAAATACTGTGCTCTACAAGAGTCATTAATAATGTTACAACGTGGTTTAAAATACTTGCACCTGATAGTATTGTAATACATAAAAACTGTGACTAAACTCTACCTTTGTAAAAGAAAAAAAACATTTTTTTATTTTTTTATTCACATGTGCAATGTATTATAGACAGTCTAAAATCAAAACAGGTAATATGCTGACTTCGCATGACTGAAAATGTGTTTAAAATGTTAGTATAACTAAACGCAAAAAAATATTAAAAGAAAATAAGTTTTAACATTTCATGAGTATGTTCATTTTCAAAATCACTTTTGCATTCATAATTTTGCATTCATCGGTATGATCCACATATAGAATGAAAGTATTTTATAATTCACTGATGATTTTGTAGATTGCTATTATCTCTATTTATATAAAACTAAAGTCGTGTTAGTTACACGATTTATAACTCAACAACGGCTGGACCAATTTTTATGATTTTTGTGTTTTTGAATATTTTTTTCGTCCAGAATACGATAATAAGTATTAAAATATGATACCCATCAATAAAAAAAAAACATCAGTCTAGCCGTTCATTTGTTATAAATGATACTAGCTGACCCTGCAAACGTTGTTTTGCCAAAAATTGTTTTTAATTTTCAACGCTCGCACAGCCTCTGGGAGTGGAATTTCGTAAAATCCCTTCTTAGCTGACCTCTACTCTGTGAAAAGAATATTCCTACCAAATTTCAAGTCTTTAGCTCTTATGGTTCCAGAGATATATACGTGATGAGTGACTATATACGTGGAAATAGATAGATAAAAAAGAGCAACAGACAGCTCACGTAATGTTGTCTATGTTTGTTTTGAAAATACCACATAACGTTAAAATTGAAGTTGACTGGTCGATGTGTTTGGTTTGTGCGAGTGTTACGAGTTTATACGAGTATTATCATAATAAATCTTATTGTGCCGATATTATGACCGAACGATGTTCGCCGGGTCAGCTAGTTGCTAATAATTTCTTTTGTTCATTCTTCCGTATTAGGGGTGTTCTCTGGTTAAGTTAAACGGTATATTATATAACTCTAGCACCATTTGATTAGAGCTTCCCTACTAAGCCAAAACTATAGCCAAACGACAAATGCACTGAACTATAATGAACTATCGCCAGATACACAAACTGCATCTAAAAACTCAACTGCAAATTGCGTAATTAAGGTAGAACATATATTTACTGACTGATATATTGACTGCAAGGATGGCGTAGTGGTTTAAGCGGTCGCCGCGCCGCTCACTACTACGTTGTGTTGTGGGTCCGATCCCCACATGGGACGACACTTTGTGTGATTCACAAATGGTTGTTCTGAGTCTGGGTGTTCTTTGTGTCCGTTTCATGTGGATTTGTAAAGTCCCCCGTGACACAGGATTTATTCCTAGTGCGGTAGTTGTCTTTTTAAAGAAAAAATAAATAAATAAAAAAAATAAGTTAGGAACACATCAGTTGAACAAAGTCAGGTCAGAAATGGTGCATATGTAACCGAATAATACATGTTCCTCTCTGTAGATTTGCTCAATATAGCACTAAACTGTTTTACGACGTACGAGGCTACTTAAGGCGAAACACTTTAAAACGACTAAAGGTATAACGAAAACACTTTTGAAATATTACAAGAAACGGGAAGTATTTGTACAAAGATTTAAGTATTTTTGATCCTAAACTCGGACACTTGGAGCTTGTTTTTCCCATGCCAAGGCAAAGTTTTTAGTGACCTGGCCGTTAGCGATATCGTTTAAATTAATACTCAAATATCGACCGTTTGCCTACAAATATTTTATTATTGACTAGATTTTAAAACTTTACATTTAGTGTTAAATTTTGTATTGATTTTTATCTTATGTAATGGTTTAAAACGCTTTTAAGAAGCTGTGAATATGTGCATAGTGGACACTGCCTTGTATGTGATTACTTTCAAAGTTAGAAATTGGGTTTTTTTGTTTTTTTTTAATGATGTATGTGCTAAACAATGATGTGAGTGTATTACACAAATCTTCTAGTTCCAGTTTTCTTTCTAATATATATATATATATATATATATATATATATATATATATATATATATATATATATGTATATATATCACGCTCACGCCATTCACAGTAGCAGGGTTTCCTTCGTCACTTTCAAAGAAGTTTTGGACAATTTCCAAGCGATGGTTCAAAGTGAAACGTAACATGATAAAATGTCAAACCTTACTGAACACAAATGTCAAGAGACGTCAAAGATCCATCATCAAACATGACCACTATGAGCTGTTAAAACCAGGTCATCCCTATTGGTAGACCCGTTATATGTACAACACAATATATATATATTTCCACTAAACCAACAATAATTTTGTAAAAGTTAGCACAAAATAAAAACTTTCCATCACCGGATGCATTAATTTCTAACCATCGGCATATAATGCTTCATACTCATACTAAAGTCCGCCGTTTAACTTTAAAAACTTTACTGCATTTAATCCAACCGCCCGAGTTACATTAATATTTGAGTAGTAAAATCCTATTCAGTGGTGAGATAGTGCACTCAATATTTTGCTCGATTCAATTGAATTCGTTCAAACATGAGTATTGCGAATGTCAATAAAAAGCCTCGATTTTGAGTAATCCGATTTGCTAACAGCTTTCAGTTGCCGTAAAATATTAGTTTATAAAACAAGATATTATATTTAAAAGTTGAAATATATAAAATACAATTGAAAAACCAAAAGATCATCTCAAACCTGAAACTATTTTAACCGGAGGTAAATTGAGACGAAAACAAATCCTGAATAATCAAAAAGATAAAGCCTGCACTGTTAAGGAACACTTAAAAAGGTAAGATTACCTGGCTCTGTTTTTGTCTTCCACAGTTTGCAGGTTTCGAGCATCAAACAAAATATGCGGGATTACCAAAAGGATTTACAGGATCAGTTTGGATTTACTTATCTATTTCTGAAGTGTCAGCATGAACTCTGTCGTGTCGTGTGTAGGCATCGTTACGTTGTAAAGTAAGTCATCAACTTTCTAACAACTTAGCAATACATATTTCAATATTTTTCGTTTTATGAAACTTGTATTAAATTGACTAAGAAATTATTTGAAATAGAGCAATTTAGCCAGACAAATAAAAAAGTGTTAAAGAAGTTAGCGGTTTTGTGTATAATAGTGGTTTTTTTTATTCTATGATTGTTAAATACTAACACGTAGTGTGCTAGTATTAAACAATCATAGAATTAAAAGAATTATTTGTAGTTGTATATTATTTGTAGTAAAAATAGAGGTATTAATTTAAATGGACTACAATGAATCAGCGAGTGCTCATATTTGTTTTATTTACAAGGACTGTATTATTTTATTTGCACTAAGTTATTAATACATTCCATTTTATTAAAATTTCTATTTTATCATTAAATTTCTATTCTATTTTATCATTTATTAAAATTTCGGTATATACATAAGATGAGTTTTATTTGCCAAATTATATTTGGTAATAAAGTTTTTTAAATTAATGGGTTCTTCTTGTTTCAACATGGAATCTTACCGATCCCCGACAACCACATCATCCAAAACTATTATTCCTGATGGATTACAATCCATCTTAAAAAAAGAAAGAACAAAATATGAGAACATTTTCTGTACAAAAAGTACATTTAAAGCGGGAGATAAAACAAGTAAGATAGTGGCGCAGAGTCATTTATCAAGTCGTGACGTCACGTCGACCAGTGACGTCAGACACCACGCAAATTGATTTCATTACTGTTACTATGGTTTCGGGTTTATGTTGGGGGTCTGTTTTATTTTGAGGGGGGGCCTCCTCTCCCCCTCAAAACACGAAAGATTTTTATGTAGGGGATATGGAAATATATTTCTTATTGAGAATCTTTAGAAATATTAATAGTATGCTTTCTTTGTGTTCACTGTAATCTGTAAACATACATTGTTTTAACAATACATACAATACTTTGAAGTTTAAAACCTAAATATTAATATAAAATAACATAATCAACGATAAAAACGTTGGGTAACTATAGAGTGTCTTTTTTACATAAGTTATCATGATTACTTTACTGTTAGTAGCGCTTTAGAGTTATCGATTCGAAATCGATTCTCTTAAAATCTTTCTAAAATATGGCAACGACAAAAGCTTGTGATCAATTCTGACTGGCCTGTTGGTCAAGTGGTTAGTGACCCTGACTGCTACGCCAGAGGTCGTGGGTTCGATTCCCACCCAGGACAAATATTTTTGTGAGGAGCACGGTCATTTGTTCCATATCTGGGTGTACCTTATCTATAATATCAATGGATTTAGAAAAATATAAGTATGTTTAATATATCATACAGGCTCTGCCAAAGTTTGGGATCTGGTGGCCGTGTGTGAGATGTGTGGCAATATTTTCATTATTATTAATCTTTATAAAATTCTTTATGAGAAACTGTTGTCACCATTAAACAGTTTTGCCAAGAAAGTTTATTTATGCAAGTTCATTTTATTTAAATAGGTTCAGAGTAATATATTTTATATTTTACGAGGTGTTTCACTATTAGATACCTCGTAATCTGTTAAAGTAAAATGGAAATAGTTTTCCAACATTGATTTTAACGCTAAAGTTACTTGTGCCTCAACATTCCCTGGAACTAGTTTAACTGTTTTATAGAACTAAATTACCTAATTAATTAACGCTGTATACGATACGTTATTATAGTTATGTTATTTATTTGATATCTTATTTTGTAATATTTTAAGTTACATTTCTTTTTGATTCTGTTATAGTGGGAGAGCTATGCCTCATCACAAATGTGCCGATTTGACCAAAGCTAAAGCCCCACAGACACCGGCCATACAGAAAACCTGGAGTAATACTCTCCCAAAACAACTAAAAAAAAAATCGGTTGTCTGTAAAGTCGGTTTACTGACGATAGTTGAACGTGACAACGTCATAAGAAAATACTGATGGAATGGTTGCATTTTACGAAAACATGTAAATGTATTATTGTATAGCAGCTGTCCACGCGGACGCATCGCTCACTCAAGTAGGAGAGAGACAGATGTCAAACGCTGCCGAAGGCCGCTTGTGCCTCTTTGTCGCTCGTTCCGCGCTCTCGCTTGCACTTCAAGCCTTAAATGGAACGCCTCAGAACGAGGTAACGCCGCATGAGTCATGTTTTTTCGAGCGTGCAGCCGGCTCCATCGAATTATAAGACGTTGTCACGTCAAAAGCGAAGAAAGAGCCATACCATTCTAATCTCTAAGTCATCTGTCCGTTCATTTTAAAATCTGTACCATATATTCTACCCTCTACTTTAAAAACGTCGATTAAAACTCTTCTACGGTATCTCTCTTTAATTAGTCATGTAAACATTATGGCAACCTCTATTACGTAGTAGGTATGTATATAGACTTTATTACAAACTCAAAACTAGTCAAAGTTAAACTTACTCAGGGAATCTGTTTTCGGTTACGCTTCCCAGAATGACGGCCGCCAAAAGTCTTGGCAAACTCAGACTTCTGCTTTACTGGAATCTAGACTATGTCGCGATGTAGGATTTGGAATGTTTTCCACTGAGCTTGGACTTTAGGTAAGTTTCAAACCACATTGGAGATTGTCGAATATCTACAAGAAGTTTACTAGTTTAGGAGATGAATTTGAGTTGTTCATGCCACCGAGATCTTGCGTTGCAAAAATTTCGTAGTTAAGGGAAACCAATCACTTTAGTGTACATACTAATACCTAATTATAATTTTTTTACGCAAGTCTAGGATTTTTAAATAGATTCAGATATAAACACCTTTTTTTTTTTAGTTTAATTTATTCCGTGTGGTGTTGGATTAAGAATACGGAATGTCACCACCGCTAGTCATCCCGTGGGTATCGTAAGAGCCGACTAAGAGAGCAAACTATGCAGGACAACAGCACTGCAAAGAGAAGGAAAACTTGACACAAACTCTATACCAACCCGTCTAGCCAGCGTGGTAAAAAAGGTCTAAACCTCCTTTCTAAGGAGAGGTCCTATGTCCAGCAGTTGACTATGAAAGGCTGTTGATGATGATGATGAAAACTTATTATACTGAAACTATTTCTTTAATAGTTAGTTGTCAAATTCTTAGACATGAACTTTGCTAAGGACGAACAGTCAACTAATCCATTTCGATTTGATAAATTATATTGAACTTTTATAATAAAATACCTGAATCTGATTAAATTCAAGATGTTTAATTAAAAGTTTAATTCGGATTCATTCAAAGAAACGTCAGAAAATTTATGCCGATGTTGTAAATTAAAGAAAACATCATGGTGAAAATGTTTGAGAGCAGTTTAAGCCGCCACATTAAGCCAGGTCCCGGTTGCCATACGAACATCTGTGGCAATCGTTATGGATAGTTGGAGCCCTAACAGTCTTTCTACAGAACTTCGATATCGCCTAGTACTTGCGTTTTGGAGGTCTGATGGTCTCCACGATAAAATCTAAGTTCAGTTGTGTCACAGTAGACTTAAAAGCCGACTTCAACCAGATCCTTTCATGGTATTTTTTTAAAATATTTTTTATTTACTTTTATCAAAACCAAATGCAAACATAAAAAAGGTTTGTTTCAAAATATTTACTTTTGAGAACACTTTTGATTAAGTTAGTAATGAAGATGGTAGTGATAAAAAATTATAATTTACAAGTATACTTACGTCACGGCCATTTAAAAGCCACGTGAGATTTGCTGGTGGATCGGCAGGGGGTGATGAGCACTGGGCTCTTAAAGAGTCTCCTGAGGCGTACCAGCCTTTTTCCGCCTTTATTGTTGGTTTCTCTGGTGGAAGTTCTGTAGACAAAGAAAAAAGTGTGATAAATTTATTTCATAGTTTATAGAAGGAACATGAGTCATTTTTTTAGGAGCAACGAGATTTTTTTCAGTCAAAAATAATCACATACATCACAATCCGGACACTATAGAGGTGTTAATAGGTATATAAGAATTTAAAAATAGAAAACAAAAAGCAGCTATAAAACAGTAGTTCTATTTATTTAAATATATTGTGTCGACTGAAATTGGACTAGACTAATTCACTGACTTACATGTTTAACATGCCTTACATGTTTTGATTCGTTAATTTCTAATTTCGAACTCAAGATAATCTTATTTCAATCTCAATTTACAAAGCCGCATGAAAAATATTCAACAGTTAAAGTTTCGAAGTATAATACTCTTTTGATTATGCAGAATAATTTGTTCGTCAGTTTTAAGAACTTAAATAATCTCTTACTTACTCTGAGCTAAGATTAAAATAGACCTATAATCTTCTTAACTCTATTATTCCGTTATGTATAAGAGCTGGCGTCGAGATTAATCAGTATTGACTGAGTTTGTTTTCAATGAAATCGGTAATTTGACCTTAAAAGGACGTGAGTCTATTATTGGATCATTCTTTATTGTATGGGAAAATATATAATTCTTATAAGGTGTATAAACCTTGTGTAAGGAAAAGTCGAATTTGCTCATCAATTTCTAGGTACCCTGATAACGATTTCTCATAGGTCGAAATCAGTAACCAAATGTCCAAAAATAATAAAAAATCTTAGCAAACATAAATGCTAATCTTGAATTATTTTTTTATTTGGGTTCCATTTATCTAACTAATTATTACTTTATTTTCTAGAAGGTTCTTTACAGTTTTGCCGTGTCCGTCTGACTTTCCGTCCTGTAAAGTAAGCTTCCGTTAGTGTTAAACAATAAACCAGACCCGAAAGTGAAATGATATGCCACAATCCTAAAAGCATACGATGCTTCATAGCAAGTTAGTCTATTTCAGGGGACCTGGAATATCTACAAAGGAAGCTGAGCCTGATAATCCAATGACTACACCGTGAAGTACGGGGAGTCTAACCTCCCTCCATCCAAAAGCAGTTAAGTCTTAGACGTGCTTCTGCAAGGATAACAGTTAATCCCATCCCAAGGCCGTTCATGGAAATCGGAGATCGTTCTGCGGTCTCTGGCGCCTCGTACGTCTGCTGAGGACGGGAGAGTACTTTTTATCTCTTGTTCACGTTTTGATTACACTCACGTAGTAGTAAAATAAAATTGTTAGTATATATCTTATTTCCAAAAACACCGTTAAATACCAGAACATAATTAATTAAAAACAAATTTTGATTTTCTAACATCAATTGATTACATGTTTTTGTAATCTAAAATCGTTTTAGGCTGGAGGCTACCAATTATAAAGACTTTTCCTCAACCGCAATTATAAAGTCGGATAATGGTGTAACCCTCCGGGGAATTACTTTATTTAGGGACCTAGAGGTTCCAAATGTGACGGGAATATGTTCGTGTTTTTTCGGGTAAACTTTATGAAATTGCCTTCTTTCGGGAAGAGATTAGAGCTATGTGTGGTGACCGAGTTTTGTAATTGTTTGTGCTTGTAAAACATTTTGGAAGAATTGCAGTATCTTATAGGACATTGAACGATTACTATAAATGTTTGGATTATATTAGAATAATATTTTTTTTTAAGATTTAATTTGTGATTAGAGAATATAAAAAGATTATTCTACGAGTACAATAAATCGAGGGAGAGAACTGAAAGACGAACGAAGACGACGACGAGAAGCTGTAATCACACAAACGACCAATGAAACTAAATTTAAATAAACCTTAGAATAATAATGCATTTATTTGTAGTAAATTGTTTTTGTTAAAGAAGACTAACTAATAAATACGAGATTCTTTGCGAAAACACTTTTGAACTTAAAATTACCACTAATATTTTTACTCTATGGTATGTTGGAATCAGCAATAATAAGTAGCCTTACTAACAAACCGATAAGCCTGACAAGCTACTCGGTAACAACTGACAAAGTATAAAAGAGGAAGACATAATTTAATATACATATATATATCTTTATATATATAATTCTTCTGTGAGTGTGTATGTCACTGAACTTCTTTCAAACGACTAGACCGATTTTGATTTTTTGTGTGTGTTCAAGGGGATCTGGGAATGGTTTAGATTCACAATTTTGTCCGCTGGACAATGTTTTTTTAATTAATTTTTAATTTATTAGTAGTTGTTGATTTTTGAATGTTTTACATTGGATCAGACAGACGGCGCTACCATCGCAGTGTCAAATTTGACAGGATAACGTCTGTCGGGTCCGCTAGTATATAAATAGATTGAAACAATTACTACTACAAAAATGCTATTACAGCATCAATGAATACCTGAGTGGAAAAAATGACTGTAGTTGAACGAAATCGCAATCAATAAATTAAGCATGTACATAAAAAACTGAAGTATAATTATTATTGTTATGTTTGTATTATCTCTCCCTCTCTCATCTATTGCTGTGCCCGACAGGGTCCATGATGATCTGAACTTATATTTAAGTTACCATTTAAGTAAACATTGTGGAATGCAATAAATATATTGAGTATTGAGAATTGAGTATACAATATGAAGAAATATTAGTAGGTATATACATTTAAACTAATCACAGATCATTAAGTTAATTATTACAGTACATTCAACTAAAGAACAACTTTTGATTCTGATTCATTCCCAACTTTATTTTGCAAACAATATGGTAAAGCTCAACAACAGAATGGCAGTCTAAAATAACTTTTGTTTTGCAAGCAACACAGCTTAAGTCCTCAACTGCTGTTGTTTCTACGTACCGCCATTTCATATCGTATTTAGGTCTAAACTTGTCGAGTAAATTACAAACATACGTGCTTCATACTAAGGTCAAAGTATTAGTCGTACCGACGTGTTTCAGCCACTTGTAGGATGTTACGTAAAATATTAATTTTACTCATACGCTAAAATTGTTCAGCACTCTGAATTCTTTGCATAGTGATGATAATCTTAGGGGCAATCTGTCCAATCTGTGCATTTTATATTGTTCAAGGATTTCATTCTGAATCATGTTGCCTCAAATATTACACTAGCTTTGCCCGTGGCTGCGTTTCTCAGTGGCTTGTTGCCCAAGTGTATGTTAGTTATCGCGGTTAAAAGAAGTCTTTGTCTTTCCTCAATAATCAAAGTATCTCCATGCCAATTTTTATTTAAATCGGTACATCGGTGTAGCTGTGAAAGCATAACAGACAGACATAGTTACTTTCTCATTAGGTAGGGATTTACCATGACAAATTTGACACATACACACAAAAATATTTTCTTATACTTTTTATTAAAGGATCTAGAACAAATTTATGTTAAAGTTTGAACATCATTTAATTTTTAAACTTTCGCGTTCCATTATAATTAATTATATTTAACGGGAATTAACGCGATCTCTTATTTAGGGTATTTCATACCTCTGGCAGTCAGCCTGTGACCACGGCCGGTGCAACCTGGTCGAAACGTCAGGCAAACCAGAGGTATGTAATACCCTAAATAAGAGATCGCGTTAATTCCCGTTAAATATAATTAATCATTTAATTTATTCCGATTTATTTAGTTCATCCATTCAGTTTCGGGCAAAGTTCATTTGTGCTATTTTTAGAGCGATTCTGATAATATTCTAATCCAAAGCGTCCGATCGAGTTTTGGATCATATTAATAAACCGTTAGCAGTTACCCGTCACTGATCATTTCGAAAAACTGGATTAGACTAGGTACTACTCTATTTAAAGTGCGTTAAGTTTCAAAGTGCTTTACTTTATTTTGTTCTGGATACAGTACACTTTGTTTAATGGCCTATGATAGATAACAGCATACAGGAAATTAGTAGATATTCGCTAATAAGTTCCTTTCTCCATGTAAATGAGTTGAAAGGTCGATAGTTACGTTATTGTATTTAGGTGTATATTTTAGGAATCTGCCAAAATAGATACAGAAAGAATTAACAGTAATTCGTTAACTATCCATAGTGGGTACAGATGTAAATTAAACTGTATGAGTTCTTAAGTATAGCCTAGCAAACGTAACTAAATAAATACCTTTGCAAGAATAGAGAACAATATCAAGAAAGTTTTTACGTGTGCCCTGAATCCTAAGAACTTAACTAACTGTTATACCTATGTACGTCAGTTTTTTCTCTGAAGATATATTTTCCAATATTTTTAACTTACTAGAATTGCCTGAGGTTTTATTAGGCATATCATCCATTTCTATTAGTTTGTTTTCTGGAACTTCATGTTTTTTTTCTACCTCTTACCACGTTTATGTCAAATTTCTTAATGATCAGTGAGTACTTGCGCTCTAAAGCGTAACAAACCATCACCTAAATAAACATAAATTCACATTTATTACACGCCCTCTCTAACAGCTTTAATCAACAAATGAAATTCTGGTACCTTTGGTTCCATGATCAGGTTTGAATAACAATGTTCAAAGATAACCTCCTAATATTTTAATCTGTGGTAGGACAAAATGACATCGAGGCATGAATAATGAAAAGTGCTTTCAACCTAATTTATTCTATAAGAGTACTGAAGCGAACAGAACAAAGAGACAGATTTTGGGCTCTTAAATCTGGGAGATAAAAGACATATCATGTATTCGTGATCCCTTTATAAGTAGATATGTTTGCTTATCAAATGTAGCTACTTATTGGAATACGTTGCGTAGATTATGTACTTACATATATTTGTGAAAATTTGTTCAAATATTGAATTCTTTATAATAGACGAAATGGTGCATTTGAGATTGTGTTTTATAGTAATCGTTAAGGTTTTTTTTATATGCGTAATGTGAATAAAAAAGAAATATATTAAACATTAAGCTTTAAAAACCGTTTTAGTTTATTATACTGGAAACGAAACATATCAACGTAACCGTGAACAATCGTATCTAAACATTTGACATAATATACTAAAGCATTTGGCATAATAATCCTTTGGCATAATTTGCCAAACGCTTAGATACGGTTGAAAAGTTTCGTTTCGCACTCGCAAATCACGAAGATAATATCTTCGGGATTTGCTTGTGCTAAAACTAAAGTCTTTTGTAGTCTTGAGATACTTTCTTAGTCGAATGCGCTCAATACGAGTAGAAATAGTTCTCTATTTCCTGTATAAGTTATATTGTTGTTAGGTCTTAAAAAATTCAAAACAAATACATAGATTTTGTAAGTTACTGTTCTCTGAAGAGTATTTATAAATTCAAGTACATCACTTTGGGTTACCTTTTACGAAACAACAAGTAATGATATCCATAAATAAGTCCCCTCACTTAGACACAATACCTTTCTTTTTAAAATTATTTCTTATGGCATAAAAGGAAAAGTCCCTCTTCTATGGATCTTCTAAGTAGTCTAATATTTCAAGCAATAAGGAGTAAAAAAATATAATAGTGAGCAAGAATATGTTTAGAGAATTCGGCGCTAATGCATATCACATCTGATGTCTTTGTCCGCTTTATCACGACCACCGTCCATCAATACTGACCATCATAATAGGTCGTTACAAGACCAAATAATGCGTGTCGACCACGGAACAGTGAATAAACTAGAAATGCAACGAGAAAACGTGCTCTCTGCAAACTCTGAAAGTATTCGTACTGGCGTATTACTTTCGCCGGTAACGCAGCTCCATAAATAAATATCGCTATGCCGAGTTGCGCGATAATTGCGTGTCGAAAACAAAGTCAGGGCTGTAATTTGTACAAATCCAACTTACCATATCATCTTTAGGTCTAAAAACTTTGGTTTTAAGTAATATTGACAAAAAATTACAAAGTATTATGTAATACAAGATAGCAAAACGTTATGATCTAATCTGTTAAAGCAATCAAACATTGCGTATCTTTGATTACTGCATTGTAACCACGAGAGCACGCAATGCACTGCATTTCGTGCACGAAAATTACGATACATTTTGCACGAAAGTATTTAGCAAAGTCACAGTTCATATTTGGTTCCGATATTGATGTAGCCAATCTTGTTTTAATTCGCATTCGTTTTAATCGCAATATTATATCTGGTTTTTAAAATGAATTTCAGTTCAGTACACTGTTTTTTTATGTATTTATGATTCTTAACCAAAAGCAAAAGAGAGGAGATTTATTTTGTTCGCATAATTTTTTAATTCGCATAATATTTGGAGATAAATGGCAAAAGTACTACATCACTATTGTCTTACTGAACTGCCTCCAAAACAATGCGAGTCGCGTGAAACGCTATCTTATTTTGAATGGTTTAAGGTTGTATTTAGTAATATAATAGGTGGCTTTTAGGATTTACAATCAATAAATCCCGTGGGACGAATTAGAGTAAACTTTTTTTGTGCGTTAAATATTATTTATCGTGTCTAGGCGACAACGGAACTTTTCTGATTTACCGTTGATCGTACTTCTAATGTTTGTTCACTCTTCTGTGGTGACGACTATAACGCAGTAAAATTAAAACCTTTACTGACCGTAATTGAATAGGTACAAAATATTGAATGTTGAATATAATTTTTGATCTTTATTTAAAACGTATCATTTTTTCATTGGTGACATCGACCTATTGAAATATTCACAAACCTACAATAATAGGTCAATGGAAAGGTAAACAAAGTTAGCTATTTTATGAGAAAATGGATATCATTTTTCGTTATTGAAAATTTTGATTGAAATAACTATTTTAGAACATTTTTCAAATTAGTTGACTCTATATTGTTAAACATATTTTACACAAATTTAAACCCTGAAATTATTAGCATATGGGTCAAATTAATAGATGTTACAAGTTGAGTTTCGTTTTCAGTGTAGTGCTTTAATGGTTTTGAACTATAGTATCCTTATCACTCACTTATTATGATAAAAATTCTTGAAATCAAAAGAATATCGTCGTGGTTAACTCTTAAGCTACGCTACGTTAAGAATTTTTGGTTATACAGGAATAATGCTTTGCATATAGTAGTTATACAATTACAAAATAGGTGTAAAAAAGTTGTCAAAACAAACCTATTTGAAATGTTTTCAACGAAGTTTAAAATAATAAAACCTTGAAATTTAAATACAAGAATCCTTTATCAGTCCAGTCATGATTTTATTCAGGAAAAGCTTTTAAGTAATCGTTGAGACCTCATTCGACCTCTTAAAGAATTCAATTAGATCCTGCAAAGTTTCCAATCACACCGCTGTTGTTCGTCGACCTTAAGTGTCACTGCCAGAATTTTATATTTGTCGATGAAAAATAAATAACTTTAGTCCAAAGTACTTTTAAATGGTGATCATAGAAGCCAACCATAATTATCTGTTGACAGCTTGAATTTCTGATAAACTTTTTATGTTTTATTATTTTGAAAGCGAAGTTTTTTGTAGTTGTCTTTTTAATGTAAAGAAGTTTTATTGTTTTAAAAATTCGTGAGTGTGTGACTGTAACAAAGATGAAGTACAACGGAAAGAACAAGCTTATTCAGTTACCTGAATGTCGTTGTTATTGAAAAACTAACTTCGATAATCTTTTCATTACGAGACGAATTTAATAGACATCGCGTAAAGAGTACTGACATATTGCAAACTTACTTAAAATTACTTATCTTCTGTATGGTGAATATAACATTCAGATTATGATAATCAGTAGTAGCTCTTATGTGTCCAGGACTGGATTCTTTGCTGAATAAAATTAATAATAAATTAGTAAATATGTCCGTGTGGTGACGGATTAAGAATACGGAGTGTCAACCCTATTCATCCCTTGGGTATCGAAAGAGGCGACTAAGGGAGCAAACTACGCAGGACAACAGCACTTCAAAGAGAAGGAAAACTTGAAAAAAAACCAATACCAACCCGTCTAGTTAGCGTGGTACAGCAAGCCAAAACCGCCTTTCTAAGGAGAGGGTTATGTCCAGCAGTGGACTATTAAAGGCTGTTGTTGAAATATTATAAAAAGATATTAAACTTGTTTGTCAAACAAAATTCTTTTTATAGCTGTCTGTACCTTCAAAGCACTCAAACTCAATCTAACCCTTTGATTATGGCAAACTTCAGTTTATGCCATTTCGCATAAGGCGTACCAACTAAATTAAAATAATTCACAAAACTATAGATAAACAAACTGATTTATTACACAGACAGCGTACCTAAAGAGCTTAAAAGGATTTATCGGTTTACGAGTAAATACTAAATGCATTTCATAATACAATTTTCGTGGAAATTGCCGAACTTGTCTGAATAACAGATTAAGTTGAAATCTATAAATCTTATTATTAAAGTTGTCACTGAAATTCTGGGAATAACAAATGATTAGGGTTTTGATATACTCTTATTGGTTTCTGTTCGATATTCAAAATTTAATTTCGTATTATACTAACGAGAACAGCGTAACGGGTTTGTCGTATTTTCATACATTTTTGAACCGACTCCAAGAAAAGGAGGATATTATAAATTCAGCTGCTTTTTTTTCGGGTTTTTACCTCACGACTCCGTCATTTATGAACCGACTTGCAAAAAATTCACTCCTAAGAGTGAAAAATTGAGGAATGAATATTACAGTTCAGTACAATTCATCATGAAGTAGGCGAGTTGACGTCGGTAATATTTTTTTAAGATAAATTACTCTAAATAAAATATACGTAATCAAGTCACTCCTTTAAACATCAGTTGTATGCAGAGTCATCAATCATCATCATCAACAGCCTTTAATAGTCCACTGCACATAGGCCTCTCCTAAGAAAGGAGGTTTTAGAATACTATACCACGCTAGCCAGACGGGTTGGTAGAGAAGATCTGCATTAAGCTCATAACAGCACACATCACCATAGTCAATTAAGGGGAATATAAGGGATTGCACAAGCATGGTCTTGGTAAGAAATTTCTCAGGCGATTTAGAGCCCGAAGTGTTCCAGTAATCCTCTGGCACTGATTTGCAACTTGCCCAGTTTAGTGTGCAATCGAGGTGTAAGCCAAGATCTTCCACCGATCGATAAACAGAAATGGTTACTTTCATTTAATCTATACTAAAATTATAAAGCTGAAGAGTTTGTTTGTTTGAACGCGCTAATCTCAGGAACTACTGGTCCGATTTGAAAAATTCTTTCAGTGTTAGATAGCCCATTTATCGAGGAAGGCTATAGGCTATAAATCATCACGCTAAGACCAATAGGAGCGGAGCACCAATGAAGAATGTTTCAAAAACGGAGAAAACGCGCAGACGAAGTTGCGCGGGTCAGCTAGTTTAT